TAATTAAGTGTAGTAAGACTCACGTGGTCCCTTATGTCAGACTGACAGTACTGAGAGAGGATGAGTAAAGTTCCTTTTGCTGCTGAACTTCAAAGAACTTTGAGAGCAGCCTCCCTTAGTGGCAACCAGCCCTAAACCCCAGCATATAATTAGAGTTCCACTTCTTAGGAAAAGTTACCTAGTGAGATTTTTTTCAAATGTCAGCCACACAGATTAATACTTCTAGCAAGTCTTGAGATAGGGTTCTTGAAACACGGGGGAATGCAAATTAAAAGGCTCTTCCACACTCAAGGGGAAGTTTTGATGATGCCTTATACACAGTTCAACACACATTCTTAAGACTCAGGTCATCCAATTACTGCTGCAATTCTGTACTAAGGCTTGGCTTCCCACATCACCAATGGTAATTATCACCAAAAGAGCAAGAACAGGCTCTGAAGAGCCCATGATTACACTTGTGCAGGGCTCATAGTGCAAGAAACCAAATGGGAAAGGGATATTCCTCACAAAGAAATTTCAGTATAGCAACAGAATATTTGCTTTCAAAGATACAAAGCTGCTCATTTTAAACCCTGCTTCAGCAGCCTCTTTAAAAGAATAGGTCTATTGGAACAGCTTATTTTATCCTTCACCTCCAAGATTCCTTTGGCATTCCTCTAGTGAAGATTTCCAAGATCCTTTAAAAGCCCAGGCCTGCGGTCCTAGTTACTTCTGCATTCACATTTCTATGACACAGACTGAGAAGTCTGATTTTGAATGCCTCTTGGTAAATGGCTTTTCTCCTCAGCTGACGCAGCTGAAATCTTGGGCCAAGACCCCACACTGCTCAACAGACTCGTGCAGTGGTGCGACATGAACGACCACACCGGCGTCCGCGGGGAAGCAAATCGGCTGCTGGCATCAATCTTGCATCACAACAGATCCCAAGTAAGAGAACTATTGGTCTGATACCTTTCTACTTTATCTTTCTCAAATATTCTTAAAGCTTACGCATATAGCTTTACAATTAAAAACATGGGAGGTCACAGTAAAAACCTCTCTGGTCCGCCTCAACACCAGCACGGGGGAAGCAAGTGGGAAACCTGTGCCCTCCATAGCCACAGACACCCCACAGAAACAAACCATGTGGCTACCTACTGCCACTTGTCAACTTTTGCCCTGCTTGAATAAGGCTTGACAAATGACAAGTATGTAAAGCTTTTCCATTGCCATAAATTTGATTCAAATTTCAAATTAAAATGGCAAAGATAGCCCAGACCTGTCCTACATGTCAGTCCTCCAGAAGCTGTGAAGTGCCCACTTATCCACCTAGTAGTGGATTAACCTGGCATGACTTGTATCTGCTGACATTTTAGAATAGGCTTCTGTTTCTCATAAGTCATGCTGTTATGTGCAGGCATCCCAACCGTGCTTTAATGATTAAAAAAGGTAATGATTAAAAAAGAAGATACTATCTGCATAGGCTTTGATAACGTAAAATTAGTCTTTGCCAATTTGAAGCCTTGAAATGAAAGAGTGGAATAAGGACAAAGTAAAACTCAAGATAAAATGTGTATTTATCTTACAGATATGCATTCATACTTAATTCCAAGTATTGATATTCCAGGTAAATTAGACCAGCCCTAAGCAGACATCTACGATCAATGCTGAAAGCAATGTTGTCTCAAATACTGTCAGTTTGCACCACAGCAGGCAAATAATTTCCATCTATTCAGAAGCTGAAGAGTGCAATCTCATTTCTTTTTTCATTCTACTTTATTCATAAGTCAGATTTCCACGTGGTTTACCATTGCTTTAACAGGAAGTGGTCAAAGCCATCCAGGAGGCACAAGGAGTGAAGCATCTGGTTTCCATGACAACAAGTGAACATGCTGCCACACAGAATGAGGCTCTGAACGCCTTGGCAGTAGCATCTGCAATCGATTTAGGTATTGTTCTCCTAAAAGTAGATATCTGTGCAACATCCTCAATTATTAACACTGTCATGCTGTTAAGTCTACATAACACATGGGAAAAAGCATCCTTCTTGTCTAGATTTATCTCTTCAGCATGAAATAAAGGTTGTCAGCCACCCAGATCACAAAAGCAATGGGCTTTGAGACTTACCTGAAGATTTTTTTGTTTAGGAGAAAGTCAAATCATCAGGTTGTGTGGACAGGCAGTCTGTTGAGTAGCATGGTATGATGCTAGAAACCTACACAAAAAAAAAACCAAAACCAACCCAAAACAAAACAGAGGGAAAGTAAAGCTGATGAAGATTAAAAAAAAGAGAAAGTCTAAATGAAGGACAAGTTATATACTTGAATGGCTATTGAAAACTCTAAATGGAGGAAATAATCTTCAGAAGACAGATGAGGAAAGAATAAAGCAGTAGCATAAACAAAGAGGTATTGTAGAAGCTGTATATGAAGCAATGAGAAAACCATGAAGTTCTAGCTACTTTTCCTCAGCTAGTTTTCAGAGAGTTACATAAAATTTTTTTCAGATTTGTCCAGTATAATTTGAAAATGGCTCTCAATTTATTACAAAGACAGACACCACAGAAATCTACATACATCAAAAGGTACATTGAAAAGAAAAGGTCAACTTGAAATTTGGAATTTCCTAGACCAACTAGTAAGGTTGTAAACAGCCCACTTAACTGCTTGTCTATCATTAAGACTCTCAAACTCAATTGGGCAACTAATGTGAATCAACATTTTTAGTACTGAACATTGCAAATTTTAATCTATTACGAGGTTATAGTTCTGTCTTCAAGGAAGAGGCCAGTGAGGAAATACTGTGCAGAAAACAATACAGAAATTCTCCAGGAGAGAAAAGACAGTTGCCCAAGACATCCCAGAATAAACAGTTTGAAATGAAGCCAGTCAAGAATTTTTAGAAAGCAAGCACGTTCACTTTCCAGTTTCTTTACAGAAAACACCTCAGACATTTGTTTACTTATTTTTCAGAAACCCTTGAAGAATCTTTTAAGGAATCACAACTAGTTCAAAGTTTACACAAACTTCTACAAGATGATAATACAAGCCCCGAGGTGAAATACAATTCAATGGGTCTTTTGTGCAGGTTTCTTAATTCAGGTAACCTCATTTTAAATTGTCTGTGATGAAAGGATAAATATTTGTAACAAAGACAAGCGTTTTCTCTTACCAAAATGTGATGCTTGTGATGCTCCAGTGAATGAGTAAAGGATATTAAACAGGTTCATTCTTTATTGATCAGCAAACATCATAGTCAAGTAACTTTCTTTATGAAAAGTTGATTAAACCCTCAGTTGAATAAAATAGAAAAAAAAAAGAAAGGCTTTATTCCAGTGAGTCAGTGGCATAATCAAGTCCTGAAATAGCAAAATTAGAGCCTTGGCATAAAGGCATCTTTGTCCAACTTCACCATGCAAAAATGCCTGGCAGGCCCAGGCCCTGTGTGTACCACAGCATTTTTGTGTTCAAAGAGTCCGTATCATGTCCACAGGCAGGCATTCATTTGCTCTGCCTATGCTGTGAGCAAACCAGAAGCTGAGATAAAACAGCAATGCTGCCTTTGCACAGTAACTTTTCGTGAAGCATGTAAAGGATATGATTTCAGTGTCACTCCAGGGTTAGGGAAGACTTCAAATGGCTTCAAGCAAGATCAGACTATCCCGGGTATGCGGCCCTAAACGAAAACAACCCCCTTGAAACCAGGACTCCAAAGATCTCGTGGCAATTTCTCACATCCTAATAAAAAAAATTATGTGAACTGAAAATAATGATTGTGCTTAGGCAAGGATTGATCATAAGGTGAGCTGCCTTTCAAACCTGGCAGCCACCCTATATTGACAGACAAGCTGGATTGTGCAGTATACTCTTTTTTTTCCCTGTAGCCACTGAGATATTGGAATAGGGATAAAGCACTTGCATCCTTCAGTGCTACAATGGAGTATTGACATAACATGTATGATCTATAAGACTTTTTTTCCAGAGGTGTATATACCTAGAATTTTATAGACTAACTGTAACACTTAGAGTACATGCTTACTAATATGAAATGCTAACAAAAAGCATACAGGCAAAAAAATGCTGGAAATTGTTCTGTATTATAGTTTCAAAGTATTTTTCTTCTGTCAATCAGTTCTTGGAAGTCAAACAGGAGAAAAAAATCTTAACCTATTCAATACTTCCAATGGCTGTAAGGGAAGAAAAAAAATTTGAATTAAAGCAGCTAATTTAAAACAGCAAGTACTCAAAATTTATCTTACTACAATTGTTGGGAGCCACTATGCCATTGCATGTCACTGAAAGTCAGAATTTCTTCTCCCTTTCAGGTGATCTGAGACAAGAAATAGAGGAGGACAAGGTTAAAGAAACTCTGGAACAACTCTGCAGTCACAGCAATGCAAATGTGGTCAAGGCAGCTGCCACAACATTACAGGTTTTGAGAGGAGACACACCTCAATAGCGTCCCTTCTTCCACGTGGCAACCCAGCACTGCTGCTGGGGCAAACAAAACACCACCTTTGCAACCCTACCTTGCATTTGCAGTGTGGCCACACAACCAACACTACTAAAGCCCAGGCACAGCTCCTGTTTTTAAAGCTGTACATAAACCTGATTTGCCCATCTACTTGGCCTCCTGATTCTTGCATCACTGCAGCTCTTCACTGATCTACTAAGACACAGCAGTAGGAATAAGGCCTGTCAAAGCAAGTGATCTCAGGAAACATCAAAGAAGAAGCATTAGGCAATTACCACTTCTGTTATACATTTTTAAGCTGCTTGGTTTTGTCCCATTAGGATACACACAAGAAAAATTGCATCAGTGGGACTTGAAAATAATTACATAAAAATCTCAATATATCACATAACCTGAAATGGGGTGGATTAGATCCGTAGCCTAAACAATGCAAAGGGCCAACAGGCACCAACTGAACCTCTGCACACCATGAATCACGCTGTGAGTCCAGCTGTTAAGTGACCACATTAAAACCAACACAAACTATCCTTAAACTAACTCTCCCTTCATTTTCCAATTTTAAAGCTCCTCTCTAAAATTTTACCCTGCTACTGTCACAAGCTATTTTCCTAAATAATTGAGGCTGCAGTGTTGTCCTAAGTTCAGAGCTGTATTGTAACATGTTGGAACCTGGAATGAGACTCAGCAGAAGCAAAGGTTACAAGAAACTGCAGTCAGTGAACATACAGTGCTTACACAAGACATAAAATTAAAGCTAATCAGAAATTGCAAGTGGGAATGGGTGAAGATTTGGAGGCAGCTGGCATTCCATCATCACCAGTAAGAGGACCTGGGTTTAACTTCAGATAACAAAAAACTGTAGTAAAGCAAATGTGTCTAAACATTTCTACAGAAACCTTTCATATTTAAAACTGGTGATTAGATGAAAAGCTAACAGATTCTATTACACAACTTGTTCTTATGGGAACTTTTTGAAGCAATGGAATGTTGCAGAGTTACAATGTCCAAACCCCTGCAGTGGTAAAATGCTGAGGAAAAACAACCTTTTTTTTTAGCCAGCAGAAAAGTTATTGTGAAAAAAATAAACAAGTACTGATCTTCAGAAGACTGTTACAAAACAGGGTATATTTCAAAGTCAACAACGCCCAACAATTTTCAAACAATTTGAGTACAACTGGCTGCAACAAACTGTCTGCAAACAAACATTTCAACTTTGTTCCTGCAAAAGTCTTCCCACCTGCAAAACTTAGTAACACTACTTGGCCTACTACACTCATCACCAAACATCACTCTCAGGAATACTCTTAAGAAAGAGAATTTCATAAAACCACCCCAGACAAGTCACTCGGTGAGTAACAGAAGCAGGTTTTGACCACACAGGAGAAAAGAAAAACAGCAGATTTAACTTTCTGGATGTCAGGAGATTTAATAGTTTCTCTAAACCCTTCTGCAGCTCTTCGCTAGTTTGTGGCTTTCCATTAGCAATGGAGAAAAAATCATCAGTGTTATTTATTATTCAGCAGCCCAGACTGCTAACAAAAAAAAAAAATAATCAGGTATTAGTTTCAGCAAAATATACAAATGAACACCACTGGATCTTTACCACTTCTGAGTTATCCAAAAACTGCAGTCTTGGTAGCCAGCCTAACCCTTAGAGAGCGAAATACTAGTAAATGAAAGCAACAGATTTTAGAAATCAAACTCCAGGAGTAGAAAACATCAAGTTTTATTTAATAAAATTTAAGGCTTAAGAAAAAAATATACTGAAAGTCACTCAGAAAAGCCACCTCAGAAGAGAAGACAGAACCTCCTCTTCCGATGGCTGAACAATGCTCAAGCTGCATGATAACCCATAGGCAGTAAGGGGAAGGAAGAGGGAAGGGTGGAATGAGGAGACAAAAACCAAGGCAATTCTACACATCAGTCAATCGCCACATCAACCTCAGTGGACTGAAGTACAGGTCTATGCACATGGCACTGTATGAGGTCACCAAAACTGGAGACCTCTTGGAAGAAACATTCGGATTTTCAGGAGGCGACCGAAGGTCCTTTGGTCACTGCACTTTTTTCAGTGCTTACATTGACCTTCCTCTTCACGTACAGGGAAACTGTGTCCAAATGCAGTAACATTGATAGCAACAAAAGGGTAGTTGCACTGTCAAACATACTGACAAATACTTCGCTTAACGGAAATAAATTGTGCTCATTTCAGAGAAATAAAAGTGATCACGTTCATGTTTCCTTCTCTCAGTGTAGTTATTCAAGTCTGAGCTCCTATCTGACATCTTCATTAAAAATCTTGTTTCCATTGTAGTGTTCGTGAAGTTGTTCCACATGCAACCACTGAAATCTCAACAATTTATCAAACCTCTGTGAGGTCACTGAATTACTTCTCCTTGGAGGCTTTAGAGGCAGGCTCACACCCAGCCGCTTCTGCTGACAAGACTTTTTTAAACCATAACCTAAATCTTTAGCCATGAAGTCCCTGCAGGTCCACAAAAGAGATGCTAAATAAAATTAAGCAGAAAACGTTCCCATTTTAAGTTTGACATTACCCTAGCCATGTGTTCCATCAATGGGGGTACACTTCAAAATGTCTAGGGGCAAACCAGCACACAGCCCAGGGATTTTAAAAATGACACTGAATAAGCACAGAGAAGTTTATCCACAGTGTAAAAAAGAAAAATCACTTCATGAATTTAAAGATCCTCAAATAGGCTGTACTTCTCTCTTCAATTCAGCTCCAAATAACTGAAGCACTGATACAAAGCTGGTGTTAATATGGCCAAAGCCGCTAAGAACAAACTGTGGAAAGACAACAATTCAATTAAATTGTTTTGCACACAAACAGTACTTAAAAAAAAAAACAACCAAGTACTCATTTGTCTTCAGGCAACTTGGCAAGATTTGCAGACCCTGGAATCCTAATCCAAAATGCTGGCTCTTGTCAGCAGCTAATTTTGGTGCATGAACTCCACAGACATCCTTGACACTGACATGATTTTCACCAAACTGCTGAAATTCCTTCCCAGCATCAGGAGCTTTTTGTGTCAGAAAGTGGCAAAGGGAAACACACTCCCTGGTCGCAGTTTTCAATGCAATGTTTTATGAATAAAAAGTTACAAACAGGAAGTATCCTTCTCCAATTTTACATACATCAGATTATTTACACAAAACATTAACTGACTAAGTTGGTTGATGAGGTGGTGTAAAGTTTCAAGCACCAGAATTTAAAGCAAAGGTTGCTGGACACTGCTTTGCCACTTGCGAAGCAGCAGTACGATTGCACATTTTTGGCTACTCCCAATGCGTTAAACAAATAAGTAAAACAGACCTCAAATTCAGGGCTTTACAGAAGAAATGCCTCTTGCTCTCCCCTCAGTGATCTACTGTTATTGTTTTCTTGTTGTATATCAAAGTTAAAAAAAAAATCACAGTGTACTTCTAGCCATTTGACTTTAGGTTTTCAGATGAGTTAATAGCAGACTGTTCTCTGTTACTGTAAGGAAATCAGCCATCCTTAGACAAGCTTCCTTTTCCTGTTGTGTCTCAGTCACTGGCCAGAAAGAGAACTATGAAAGCTGAAGTACACATGAGAAGTACAGCACTGTCTGAAGTGCTTCATAGATTACAAGCTATAAGGATGTCTGGATAACAGACACTAAGATCTTACTGTTGATCAACTGTTGCCAGTGAAATATTTGTTAATACATGCATTATAGAATAAAAGGACATGAGAGAGATTTAAAAATTCGGCTTCCTGAAAAAGCCATATACTTAGAAATTCAAGCATTGAATCTTTCAGGCAGGCTACATATACTAAAATATTATAAAAATATATAATTTTCTAAAATTTACACTATGTTAGGCACTGTAAATAAACCTGCTCTCCCTGAAAATTTGGTGTTACTGGAAGCAGTAAACAATGTTAGTTATATGGCCCACAGTAAAACTGACAGCTACAGCTACCTTCAAGAACTTTTCAGCCACATACTTTTACCTTAAAGCTAAGGATACTAAAAAGTCTTCTAGAAAAGATTAGAACTCTTACTGAACTACAGATCCATCTACTAAACTCCCAAGAAGGGAGGACTGGAAGAAGAGAGTTTAGTTTCCTCTTGATTAAAATAAAACCCCTGACCTCGGAAGGAATCGTTCAGCTTAACACAGAAAATTACTGCGAAGAAATCATTCTGGTTCACCATGTTTTGATTCACATTTGAACCATGGAACCAAGCAGAACTGATGTTTTAATAGTTTTACAGAAAATTTAAAAATCCAACAACTCTAATCTTTCACTAACTTTGTACTTCCTCATTTCCAAACATATTTCAGTAAGGACTGATGCTGAATTTATAAGTCTTTCACTGGTCCTGATAGTATCAGTTCAGACTTGTGAAGATCCATACAGCAGTTGTGGGAGAAACCAGAGGAATTAAAAAAGCTATTAACAGCATGCTTGCTACCTACTGAAACCAGTTGCACTTTGCAATTTACACAGACAGCACTTTTTAAGGATATTAGTGATCAATGAAAGGATAAGCACTTTTAAAGAGGTTTTTCTTCTATAAATAAAGAATAGTTAAATTTTCCTCAGACAGGAAACACCATCAGAGCTTCATACCCTCTTGCCTGAAATGGGGTTTTCTAACATATAATGCTAGAGGCAGATTTTTACTATCTGAGAACTGGTTTGAATTTTCAAAACAGCATGGGTTCTGCACAACTGAAAATCAATTAAAGAACTAGACAACTTGTGATTTTTTTCCCTAATTTCCAATACCTTGATGATTATGATTGCTGGATATCTTGCCAAAAATGACTGCATGAGTCTACTGCAGAGATTAATATGATTTCAAGATTCTGAAGAAATCAGTACATGCCTTCTGAAAAGATTACATTTTAAGACAGACGACAGTTAAGAGTGAAGACAGAACAATTTTCATAGCAATCCTTCAGGGAAAGTTTACAGCAATTTTATGTCTTCCTGCTACAGTCCTTAAAATCTGTTCTGCCAGTGTGTTGGGAAATTCCATTTCTTCCTCAGAGATCAACACTGGTGCACTGAGTTGGTCTTGTTAGAAAAAAGGTAGACAGGTTTGGAGATGTCTTTTGTACCAGCTTCTAACAAAAAGCATGAGCAGGGCAAAATCCACATAAGGCTTGTAATAACAGGAGTATTTCACGGTCCGTGCATTTCTTCCACCTTGGTGTCCAATCAATAATCGTAAAATATACTGGTTTGCAACATGTGTCTGCTTTTATATTCAGAAGGCATTACTTGCCTTTACAGCTTCAATATCGGAGATCAATGACCTGGCTAGGAAAATCCCAAAGATCTAAAAAGATAAAAAACATGCCATTTGTGAGATAAACACTTGTAACACACCAGTCTGTAAATTGTTTGTATGCAGTTTCAGATATCATTTCATACCCAGGATCATCCATCAAAGCATGGCTATTACTAAAATATAATAAAGGCAACAGAATCTTGCAGGAAATAAAACTCATGAGAAAGATGATTTTATGAAAACTTCATGAGCATTCAAAATAATAAGCTTCTGGATGCCTTTGAGTTGGAAGAAATCCACTTAGCAAAGTCTGAGTGTCATAAACACTCATGCTAACCTATTGCTAAAGTTACAGATCAGACATTTGCATTCATTTCACAACTCTGAATAGATAATCCAGTCAGTTTTCAGATCAATTTTTTTAAATACACACAGAATGTACAATTACCTGTACTGAAATTAAATTCTTGTCACAGAAGTACTAAGAGAAGTCCCAGATTATTCTGAGACATTTAAATATAAAATTTTAACATTTGCACAAGTTTTCAGAGAAATCTTCCTTTACAAATTGAAGATAAATTCATAACTGAGCACATTTCCTGAAACATTCTTAGAAACAACATAAAACTGGGGTGAAGTTTTGAAAAAGCTGAAAAAGTAGGCAGTCCCACCATGAAGAAGTTTAATGCACAAGAAAGACCCAGTTTGAAAATACAAGTGACTGAAAGTGATTTCACAGAGACTCAGGATATGAAGAAAGAACAACATTGTCAAGTCACTCAGTCAACATACTGCCAAAAGATTAAACTTCCTATCTTGAATGTCTTTCTAATGAGATGTTGTGTTCTTAAGACAGCATTTCTCAAATCCATGGAAGCACTATCATTAGATGGTGTTAAAATAAAATAAATCAAAATCAATCACACCCTCAGGCTACAGAGGGCAGTATTACCAAGGCTGGGAAAAGGTATTTTGTCAGCACTCTACACTCAACGATTGTCCATTGCATGGAAAAGACATTCTGTAGCAGATTTATTAATTCCCATGGAAGTGAAGCACTTCCATAGCAAAGAAAGTAAGGTAAGTGTAAAGAACTGCCACAATGAAAGCAGGATCCACCTTGAAAGAAGACATCTTACATGCTATACTTTGGTTCTTTTCTTTGCTATACCAAGCACTGATGAGGTAATAGAAGTCACAGCAACTCCATCTGGTTCTGCTAAGATCACATTTGCCACCTGTTCACCTATTTCCCTGCTCTTACATTCTCAGGTTTTTGATCAGCATGCTGCACATCACTTACTGAGAGAGAACCTGAGCATGAAGGACAGTGTTGTATCTCAGTCATTTCACATTTGTGATGGGCTGTTGTTCAGATCTACTGGAGTAGACAACCAGCAGATCTCCCCTCCAAGACATATGGAAAAGTAGGGAGTATTATTGTATCATGTTATTTTCTATAATCATATATTAACATGACTCCATTAATATTGCAATATATATCACAATTATCACATACCATATTATAACTGTACTGTATTTTTATATGACCTTCATTGCCTTAAGCAAGAGGTATTTTTACCTCTAAGTTCCATCCCTATAGTTCTTTTTTGTGTCATACCCTTCTCATATCTAAAAAACCCATACTCAGAACATTTATTTTACCTCTGTTCAGAACTGCTTTTACCCTTAGCAGGTCTGTATCTGCAAAACTGAAGTTTTTTTTCAAAGAATCCTAACAATAACAACTAACCTGGAGCAGTGAGATAGCTATGAAGACACCTGCAACAATGTAGATATTTCGGGGTAGCCAAGCTTCAAGAGCATGAATACATCCTTTGACAAAAATCTGATCCTCCCATTGATTCTTGCTCTGAATGCAGAAAGGAAGAATAAGAATATTACTTTTCTGCTCAAGTTACCATAAAATCAATCACATGATAAACCTATACTAATTTTGTCACTTATGCAGTGGTGTTTTTAACCACACTTTAAAAACTCATATATAAATCAAGCAATGTCAGACACTGATGTTAATATCATCCTGTAAATCCTGTTATTAGAATACTGTAGAATTATCAGATAATAGATTGTCAGAGTGCAGATTGTACAACAGATTGTAGACTACCACAACTGATAACTGAAACACACATTTGAAATGCAAGTCCCACCCCTTTTTGAAACACCTTTACCTTTACCTAATCCATCACTTGTTTTCTCTACCCCTCACACAGTACAAGCTTACTTTAAACAAAAGAAAATGTCTACATCAGTCTACTTTCAGTATCATGTAGCACAGTCAGCTCCCAGAATTTCAAGCTGACATATCCACCAGCAATCCCACCATTTTTATAGTTTTGTCTATGCAGGCACAGAACACAACAGACAGCAAGGTCCCAGCACCTTACCTTCTTTCTGATATCATAGCCACACTGTGTGTTCACAACTTTTTGCTGCAAAGAAAAAACAGATTTAAAATAAATCAATTGAACTCTACTCAATTCTGTTCACAGCAAGCTTTTCTGTCTTTTATGTTCACAAACATTAGGAGTGTCAGAGAAGTTTTAAGAAGCATTTTTAGTAAAAACGAGCAAAGCAGTAGCAGAATACAAGAAAAGTGATGATAAAGCAAAGGTGTTCACTAGCTAGATGACATCCTCCACCAGGAATCTCACAGCTGCTTCTGTCACTTGGCTTTCAACTAGCACAGACTTTTTAACATGGGGCATAGCAATTGCACTGCCAGTGCACGGATAAGGCCTCTGCATTTCCAAGATCAGATTCACATCAGCTATTTCACACAGCACCTGACACTGAGGTAACAATACAGCTACCAGGCTGATTTACTTATTCCTGCACTGGAGAAATGTGCCTTACAGCTCCATCATTTCAAGCACTGCACAAGAACTTGCTATCCCAGTGAGCTAAAACCAGTAACAGCTGCAAGCTACTTCAGCCCCCTCAGTTGATAGTTCAAAGTCTCACACATAACCCAGCTCCAGGACACACATAGTCTTGAAGATGAAACACTCCAGTTGTAGATCCCAAGTAGTAAGACCACAAACACCTTCCAGATCACAACCCCATGCAACCCAGTTACAGTATTTATTACCAAGGATGCAAAGACATTCCTTTAAAGACTTTTCCCCCCTGTGTAAAAGTTACGAAAATATATATTATGCAATTATAGAATAATTTACAAAATGCCTACTGAGTTACATTAAAATATTAGTAGGAGAATCTCACATTAAAAAGACTTAAACATACTTATTTCTCCTTAAATACAGCACCAGCAACAAAAAAATTTGCATTAGAACAGTACTGCTCCAAACTAAACAAGGAAATAATTACTGGGGAATCTGAATATTGAATATTTCCCCGACAAAGTCTTTCCTTGGTTGATTACTATATTTAACCACTGGTAGAGTTCTGATTGTATTAATCTACCAATGGCTCCACACAAGTTTTGACAGATGGATTTTGAGCTGTAATTACTCCTACTAATACTACAAAGCACTCTATGTTAGTTTCTACCTCTACATTTTGACATCAAGTGAAAGGGTCAAAAAGTTTCATAACAGTTAGTAAACAGATCTAACCAGTAAGCAACTAAATCTTGCCAAAACCAAGAACTGACTCAAATGCTTCAAATTTGGTGCACGAGCACTTTACTAGTTACTGATAAACAACCAGCAAATGGAGTTACTCCTACTTGATTGGCAGAGGGATGTTGTAACATTAATTCTAACTGGGGCCAACATACTGTTTAGACATTGCTCTCAGGTCCACCTAAGCTAGGTAACAGAGGCCAGGGACTCAAGGAAACAACACCAGCCACCACTGCTTGCAGGTTCAAACCATACTAAAATAGCTTGAATCCCTGGTGACCATCCATTTTCAACTATATAACAGGCTGCCACATCTGAACCCTAAGAGATCTCCTAAATGATCAAAAATGTCTCAAATTTTTCTCATATTTCTATTCCATCCTTTTTAAAGCCCTAGTCATCACCTATTCAGGAAGCACTTCCTTACCTAACTCTACAACATCAGAGCAATAGCAAAGCCAGGGCACAACTTACAGCAGGATCAGGTATACAACAGGAAAAAGGAACTCCACACTTCTCACGACTTTTGCTTTCACTATTGCAGTTAAAGTATATGTTAAAGTCCCAGTCTTCAGGACCTTGGGCACCGCAGCAGTGGTTCTGCAAGAGATAAACAAATATCATTGGGTAAACTGTGTGTAAAACACCTCTAAATGCTAAGTGTTCGTTTATAAATCTTCACTATCCCTAAGTCTGTGCAGAATCAATGACCACACCAGAATAAAAAATGAGTAATCAATAACGTGGCTCTCTGAAATCAAAGCAATACACCTGGCACATCTGCTCCTGGAAACAGGTTTCAGCATGACAAGTAAAATCATAAAAATTATCATTTTAGATGTAATTACCAGACACAATCAGTGTACACTGATACAATGGTGCAACAAAATATTCTATATAAACGCTTTGTAACCCATTATTTCCAAGTCACACAAAGCAGAAAAGCTCTGGAAAAAGGTTTCTTTAAATTTGTGACATGCTTAATTTTTCATGAATCAACAAGTATTCTTCTCCTTATTTATTTTAAAAAGTAGATCCAAACATTTGTGAATATACTTCCTTTCCTTTATATCAGAAGGTTTTCAGATACAAATGAATGAACTGGTAAAGTCTCACTAACTCCAAAGGTCACTCAGTTCTAGAAGTATTTCACATAAGTTTCTTGACCTAAACAGTGTGATGTAATTACCATAACTGCAGATGGGGGAAACCCTAACAACTTAAGGAATGCTTACCTCCTGGAACTAATGAAAGCTAATTTTTTATTGGGTTATGCTTTGCAGTTTAGTGGCCTGGATATTTAAGGGTACAAATCTTTCTCTATGAATTTGAGTACTTGAAATATTATACCATCATACAGATTTTCCCGGCACCACATGAAGGTGCAGCCCCTTGGGTTCTCCCTAACATCTCTCCTCTGATCACTGCCTGTTGTCACAAAATTTGCATTAACCTAGCTGTCTGCAAGACCATCACAACTTGAGGTCAGTAAATCAATTCAGAAGTTATCAAGTTGTGACAGACACAGATGTGAATGGAGAGCAGAACTGCACACACAATTTTCACAGGAAGTATGTTCTAAATAGAGCTGAACAGAACACCCAGAATAGAAAAGCATCAAAAAAAAAGAAGACTTTAAGTCACTAATATATCACTGTAAAGAATGAAAAAGAGGTTATTTTTGTCTTTCTAGTACCTTGTCCCTGACGTGCCTACAGCTTGATAGAAAGCCATACAACCACTAAACATGCTTCTCTTCCTTAATAAGGTACAGACTATGAGGTCACTCGCAGGCCTGAAAGTAATGTAATTAGCCAGAAAAAAGAGCTGCCTACATAAAGCTCTCTCTCGAGGCACGCACTGAGAACAGAGCAAGTCAGACTGAAGAGTAGGGCTCCTTAAAAGAGAGGCTTCAGTGAGGCATTTGAACACACTGCTGACCCTTACAGAACTACACTTACTAATTCACACTGCACATCTCCCTCCTTCCTCAGTCCTTTTGGGTATGGATCACTGACAGACCCATTCAGACTTTTCTGGTCTTTCCTTTTTCAGGTTTATTGGCTTGTTAGAGTGGCTAACTAACTCCTTCTAGCAAGCTTAGCCTTTTATTTTTATTGAAAAGTAAATGGAGTTCAACTGTAAATCAGCTTAGCCTATTAGCCTGGCCAACTATACCGAAACTAGATAAGCAGAAAGAGCAACATCAAAGTGGACAACACTAAGACAATTACTTGTGTTGGCTGTGGTCAAGAGGAGCCCTACCTTACCCAAAAGGTGCCCTCAGCACCAAAAGCTAAAGCCAAACAGCACTGAAACCCATCCAGATGGCTTAATCAGAGGATCCTTGCATACCAATGCACACAAGAGTAAAGGAACAGGAGAGACAACATGCTGGTAATATACAGCTGACCAGACTGGTATCCACTCTAAAACATGCTTTGCTTTCAAACTCAGCTGCGAGCTGTGAGCACAGATTTCTAATATGATATTTTAGAAGATGGAAGACAGACAAAACCAACCTTCTTTCATAAAGGGAAAATTATAAAAAGGAGACAACCATTTTACCTCTTTGCAAAGTACTCATATGCACTCTGTCTCTCTCCATATATATTTTTCAACCACACACAAACAAATAAAATTCAGAAGAGTCACCTTTACTGGTTGTTTTCTGGGCATGATTACAAAAGCAGCTGCTGGAATAAAAGCCACCAGGCCCTTACTAGCAGAGGCCTTGTCACCTCCTGCTGTACATCACTGTCTTCTAGTAAATGAAGATTTTAGGACCACTAGAGCATAAAATAGTTTCAACCTTCCTTGGCAACTGTCTAACTATAAACTAGCCTTTCCCACTTAAAGATATTCTCTCTTGTTTCAAGATGAGGTGCATCTCAGAAGATAAAAGCCTTTATGCTGCACCCCTGTATAAGACTGCAGTGCCTCCTAAAATAGGAATGCAGACTACCAGTTTCATTGCACAATTTTTTTAGGAGAAAGTTTTTTTTTTGTTGCTCACTTCTCACTGCAAGTGCTGCAATGCTGACCAGAACAGGGGAGCAAATGAAGAAGGTTCAGTGCAGACGGATGCTTGAGAGAGCTTCCATAATCTGCCTTAGAACAGCACTACCTCAGAATATCTTGCCTCCCTGATGCTTTCAACACAGAAAGAAAAAACCAGAACATCTGTAACAGTAGTATTAGCTACAAAATATGATAGTTCTATCACAAAAATGAAAACATTCTCCCCGAATGCACGAAAGAAGCGACAGGATATGAACTTACGATTCTCTGTAGTGAATCAATGATGTTCTGGAGGTCAATATCATCTCGGTAGGATTTAATATTATTCTCAAAGAACTCCTTTACCCTGTCCCTCACCCAGTCCTGGAATAGGAAAGCCATAACTGCTACTGCCAGCTCCAACAGGAATATAAACACAATTGCTCCACAGAACTGTAGGAAGAAAAAAAAAAAGTCCCAAATTGGAAAATAGTAATTCATTTTCAATGCATCTCTACTCTAACACCACCAGAAACAGACACAGAATTTGAGAACACGACCTCTCAACTGAGTATACAAGGTAAAGAAACCTCCAAGAAGGTAGTGCAATCATTTTGTTTTGGTCACCTGAACTTGTCAGTACAATGAACATCATACCACAATCATTATGCACAGCAGTGAAAATAATAATAAATGACAATCTTTAAAACACAGGGCTAAAGTAGTCTTGATATTACCTCTTGCACTGTTTCTAATTTTATAATTTTTTTCAGACTTTTTTTGTCCAGCTAAACTGTTTTCAGATCTAAAGCAAAGAAGTCTCAGTATTAAATAAAACATTTAAGAAATTTCACATCATCCACTGAAGCCCCAAAGTTCTGCCCACCCAACATCTACATGAAACTTTTAAGTTTTTAAACAATTTTGTTCCACTATACTATATTCTCTCAGTAATTCCTAACTGACTAAATATGTTCCATAACATCACAACATTAGATTCTGGTATACACTCTAAAACATCACTGCATGGCAGAATGAATGAAAAGAGGGAACAAACATGTTCCATAAAGAGAAAAATAAATAGGCTGGAACCTACACTGCTTTTAATACTATTACTCAGAGGTCTGTTAAGGCAGCAAGTTTACCACATACATATTTATCCGGGTTTGCTACAAGTTCATTATTTGCAGCTTTCAGACACATAATGATTGACTCATATAATGGTGTTACTTACAAATTTCAGAAGGCAGATGTTTTCTCTCAGTGCTCCTACACAACCAGCAAATCCCAAAGTAAACATCACTATTCCCACCAGTAAGACAAGCACCACTGGGTCCAGACCATGAAGACCAGTCACCTTTGTCAGATCAGACAGTACACCCTGAGAGAAAACAGCGCAGAAAGAGGTGACCACTAGAAGCATATTATTCCTTTAACATTCCTTCTGGATGATTTCCACATGATTCCAAATGAATTCGTTGCAAACCCTTGAACTTGCCAACAACGACCTCCATGAAAAAGTCTTACAGTAAAATGTTTATGGACAACACCAACTTTCTTCACCCCAGCAGCAGCAGTATTAATACAAAGTTCTGGGTAATAATTCTTTTAACAAGTCAATCCAGCACAGTCAGTTTGTCAGATTACATTCTCCTAGGTCTATCTGCCAAACAAGATTCCACAAGATGGTGCCAAAAGCTCAAAACTATCACTGATGTTCATTTAGTTTCAAGGCAAAAGAATTAATGTTTTATATTAACTTGAAATGCATCAATCAAAAAGGCACTCCAATGTAATGGTCCAAAAAAAATTAAGAAAATAGGTTTTCCAATCCTAATGTTTAAGATGCAGAAAGGAAGAGAGATTCTAAGGACAGAGCAGCTTATGGGTGACATTTTAAAGGTGGGGGGGAGAATACAAATCTTGGTTTAGTTTTCAAGGGAAGCAGATTTTTCCTCTCATTTTAGTTACACCCCTTCTAGTGCCAAATAATCTTAGAAGTGCTGCTCCAAACTCTTTAAAAAATACACAAGTATAATCTAAACATTCCCTCCTTTCACCCCAGATAAAATTCTTACACCAAAAGGAGTTATTGCAATTTACCTGATTTAGCACCAATATTTTCTTCTTCGTTAACTATCCAGAGACACCACTTATCTTGACAGTAATCTTAGCTATTAAGCCTGTCTACCTAGATTTTTAAGTCTATGTAAGTGTAACGCTAACGCAGTGAAATCCTTCCTTATGATTTCCAGATTAGGTTTTAAAGAAGTTATTACACTAGCAACCATTAAAATTCCATCAAATCCATCAAATGTAATGTGCAAGAACAAGATAGAACATGCAAAAGATAGAAGGGACAAACAGCTGAAACCATTAAAGTTAATGAGAATGATTTGTAGGGACATCCAGGCAGCCTTGCAATAGTCTGAGTGTTCATCATATACTCAACGACACACAGAACATTTTAACAAGGAAATGCTTTCCATTTAAAACACGGAAACAACAAAACAACACAGTACAATATCCCATAATTACAAGTTTGCTATCTTTTTTTCTATATAAAGTATATTCTCAACCTAACCATGTATAGTGTAAGAGAAAGATATTAGAGACTTGCAATAAGCAGTCCAACTCTGTCAAGGGAATAAAAATTCTCATCTTGCTACTCAAGTACCTGTGCTAAAGTTAAGTGCAAAGGATACACAACCTAAGAGAACCCTTGGGAAAAATCCCTATCACTTCTTATTCAGTTGCTTACTGAACAAAAATAACATATCCAAAATACAGCATTAGGAGAAAACATGGCCATGGAGAAACTTCATCAGCTGGTGAAAAGACACTGATTAACAGTACTACAGTGACACACAGGACTTCATCTTCTTTCATAACATGTTCCATAACAGATCCTGTGAGAGCTGTTAAATTTGGCAACAGCAAGAGAATTTTTTTTACCAAAACTGGTTGAAGGAATGAAAAGAAAAAAAAAATAAAAATTGATCTGTAGAGCTCAGAATTGCCTTGCAACAGCTGGTGACTCACAACTGAAACAGTCTATTGGAAAACAGTTTATTGATACATGTTACCAGTGACATTTCCATTCTTAAAAACTGTAAGACCTCACAGCTAATTAACAAACTTGGTCTATCGGGTTAATTATGAGAGTCCCACCTAATAACATTGGCTCAGACCCCACAAGCAAGGCACATATGCCAAGATAAAGCAGGCTGAAGCAAGGTCTCTGTAAAACCAACACACCATGAAACCAAGCAATGTGCAACCAGGAGGTTGAAACTTCCACAACTATTGCCAGCCATCTCCTTCCCACACCTAAACTCAACCTTTTTGTTTTCAGACAATTTCACTTGCTCATGCAACATCTTTTGGAAGAAAACTTCCTCTGATCAAAGCATGTTATGAAGAAAAGTTGGCAGGAACTGGGCTCTATTATTCAACCTCAGATGTTGCCGGTTCAAAACAGTTTCTTCAAGTTCACATTTGATGTTTACAACATGCTCCTTTGAAAACAAGGTTGTGGGGGTTTACTTGCCTAACAAAAGATGTTAAGTTCAAAATCCTGAAGGAAGGAAGTAAACAAGAGAATTAACTCAGAGAACCATCTCATCTCACCTTACGCATCTCTAAAGATGCTTCTGGTTTCTGCCTATGCTATCTACAGGATGGTAAAAACTCTTTGAAGTACAAGCTGCCCTTTACAATATGTAGATTTCCTACAGGTATACAGGAATGAAGTCTGATACCTGAAGTCACTGTCAGAAAATCCTATAACACAACTCAGGCTTTAACTTTCTTTCAGTTACTTGGAACAGTGAATTAGGAGTTGCAGCTGTACACTTTTAACTTGTTATTCACTTTCTTTTAATGTTTGTAAGCATTATGTCACCATCTCAACTGAAATATATTGGCAAAAGAGGGCAATTATGGATTGTCTTTAAAAAAAAGAAAATCTCTAATACAGCTAATTAACAAATGCCAAACCAGTTACTGTTTTGAGATTCACTAGTATGAAAACTACAAAATACACATGACAAGGACAGACCTGATTTCTTATAAGGAAGTTGTGTAAACTGGCTGTTGATTGTCACAGTATCACTGCCACCAATTATAACACAAGTTACACGCCTGCACCTTTAGACAGTTTACAGACCTCTGTGCACAAATGCAAAGATCAGCAGACTAAAGAATAAACAGATTTAAAAATAGAATAAAGTTGGAAAAGATCTGCCTGGCACAGGGGTGCCCAAAACTGGACGTGGTATTCCACATGCACGTCAACTGTGTGAATATTGTTGGAAGCTCCTCCCTGGCCACAGTGGTGCTAACACAGCCCAGTATGCTGTTGGCCTTGACGTGAGGGCACAGCTGATATTCTACTTACTGATCAAACAGGAGCTCAAGGCTTTTTCCTCACAAAGTTGCTTTCTAAGCAGTTAACTCCCAGCCCATACTGGTGCATGGGGTTGCCTCATCTCAGGCACAGGACTGTGCATTTACCGCTTTTTTTTTAAATAAACTGTCATTAGGTTCCTGCTTTTCTCCATGCTGTTACATATAGTATTTTCAACACTTCTCACAAACCAGCAGTCTCATTTCAATATATTACCACCTAAAAGAGAATCACAGGATTTATATCCAGAGAAAAAGACTGCTGAGGAATTAATCTAAAGTGTAGTCCTAGTGGAAAAAGAAAAGAGACAAGAAAAACCAGAGAAATTAAATGGACCTAATGTACTTCATGTTGCAGTAAGAGACAGGATGTTCAGAACTCCTCCACCATTTACAGTTTATCTTTGAGTTTACCACTGCAGCACAGCTTCTGCAATGTTTTTCTCTTGCTTCCCATCTATTGTTCACCAAGATGTTTATCTGTAAAATACAGGCACTGTGGCTGCAGAATGGCACTAGTATGAAAGACTGACAACATAGCACAGAACAACTGATGTAAAAAATAATGAACAGATTTCATGAGCAATTTATAAGTTCAAAACCACAGGAAAGGCTTTGAAGCACTCATTTGCAAGATAGCACAGAGAGCAGAAAGAGTTCAGACAAATTTTAAAAAAGACAGAAAGAGTCTCTTTGCCTTTCAGTAACTTCAGTGTACCATAAAGTCAATTTGACAAATGGAGGTAAGTTGTGAGATATTAATTTCCAACTACACAGATCCTACGTGCTTGTCTACAAAACAGAAAAGGTCTGAACATGAGAGAATATAAATTGAAGACAAGTTTAACACCCTCCCTTAAAGGGTTGGAAAGAAAATTCTTTTGTGTGTGTGGAGATAGGCTGCTTACTATATATCAGTGATAACATTAATCTAGTTGTGAGAATGAGTGCATGCACATGGGGGGGGAGAAGGAGAATAAATACCTCAGAATTAAGTTCATTGCAAAACACTTTCCCTTCCATAAAGCAGAGGAATCCCAGAACCTCTCTATTTGTGGACAGCTGCTGTGTGTAAACACTTCAATTAAGGAAAAGCAAACACTGGGATGGTAATTGAAGTCTTACTACTCAGCAGCACAACTGAACAGCGAGAGCATCAGCCCTCCACTGCTAATTAGATGCAGGTTAGTCAGTCTCCAAGTAATTGTCACTTTTTCCTAATGCTTACAGTCATATTAAAGCCTTGCTTTTAAATTCATTCAAGGGGTTGAACCATACCATACTTCTACCATTCTCTTCTCTTTTAACAGGAGAACTCTGTGGGGTACGTCTTCATTGACTTCCTTCGATTCAGGGAGTTATTTAGCTAGGAGAAACTTTTGTCACAAATAACAGTGTTATTCAGCTAGATCATGTTCCCCCAGTTTTGTTCCTCTACATGGAAACATCATCACTTAAGCACTCTATGGGGAGTAAAGTGGACAACAGATGGCCATAAGACTGGGACCATCTTTCTGAAGTATTTCAAAGACACATGTTTGGATTTTCTTAGTGCTTTTTTTTAATATAAAGTGATATCTCTTACATTCCTCACCCTGTTTCCTGTTCGTAATAAAAAGAGCTGGGTAGAGAAGTATATTTCAGAAAATATGGTCTTTAAAGAGAAACAATTCATAAAGATTAAAAAAGCTCTAAATGTCAAGGGCCATAGCTTAACATCAGATCAGGCACAAGAACAAAATTCCAACTAAACTCAGTTTAGATCATTTGGACACAGTCCTGAGCTCAGCTGCTTTCTGAAGAAGAAGCTTTACTAGAGCTGGAGAGGGCAGCCACCAAAACAAGACCAGTTACTTCTAACCTTACCTTTTCACTCCATGCCCACAGACCAGCTGCAAGGAAGGCCACCCCAGCTAGCTGAAAAAAAAAAAGAAAAAAAAAGAAAAAAAAATTAGATGTACTAATCAACCACATTCTCAGCACACCTAGCCAGTAGCACTGTTATTTAAGTAAAACAAATTCTGCCTGCAATCTCAGATAGCAGCAATAGGACATTCCTCCCCATGAGTCAATCTCTTGCAAAAATGATTTAAAGGATTATGCATGTTATAAGCTACTTCTTAAAAAGCATTTCACTTTGATTCTTCAAGATTACTCAAGAAGCACGTGGTACTAAACTGACAATTCCACACAATAGCGTGCAGGTGGGAGTTACGCTCGTCCCAATGACTTGCTCTAAAACATTTGCCTACGCACTAATGAAGATGTCAGAGTATTTAATGCATTTTGAAGTTTTTCTCTATTTAGTCATTTTACAGTACCAATTCCAGCAGCAGTCATGTTTGAATCCTTGTAACTTCTCAGTGTCAAGGCTCACTACATTAGACTCTTCTCTGATCAGATATAGTTTGTCTTCTGAATCCTTGTCTTGTTTAAGCTCTTTTGAAACAAGACAGATTAACAGTCCATTCATTTACTATCAATAAGCAAACTACAAATCCTATACCAATTCAAATGTTTGTGTAATAAACATTTCTGAATCATACTCATCCAAAATAAGCAAGAGTCCCTCAATCTAATCTTTTATTCCCTTTCTTTCATTCTCAGGCAGTTTGTCTTTAATACCCAACATCAATAATCAAACTAAAATAACCTCTCTACAATCCCAGGGCAGCTGCTCCTCATTTCTTAAAATGGCATTCTACGCAGCTATGTCAGCAGGGACCTTATCCCTCCCTGAAACTACCTGAAAGGAGGTTGTATTGAGGTGGGTATCAGTCTCCTCCCAGGTAACAAGTGACAGAATAAGAGGAAATGGCCTCGAGTTGCATCAGCTGAGGCTCAGGTTGGATATTAGGAAACATATCTTCCCTGAAAGGGTTATCAAGCATTGGAGCAAGCTGCCCAGGGAAGTGCTTTAGTTACCATTC